TCCGATTCGTGAACAAATCGTTCTTTTGAACCAGTTCTTTTCAGTGTATCGTTTTTTTGTACATCCACACATTGCATAGGTTAGATGAGAAATTAACATATGAAAACACACAGGTAGTTTATTTTTACTATTGTAACATTTATTATTGTCTACTTTTATCACTGTCTTAATTTTTGTTTAATTGTCATTGTGTGTAACTTACAAAGTTTGGGAGTCTCTTTCCTCCAACATACATTACTGGATTTTGCTTACAGGAGATGTTTATGATGTAACTTATTAATGTAATGCATTATTTCTCTTTTAAAATGCATATAATTACATTATTGGCCACTGATATCACTGTTTCATTATTTAATTTAATTGGCGTTATGTCTGGAATAAGTTACTACGTTTTGGAGTCGGATTCCCCAAACCCTATTTTTAAAAATTTGATATGTGTATTTTAGTACACAATTTTAGTGAACACAAGGTTCTTCAGGAATACACTATTCACATTGTAACAGGACTGATTGTAGCTATGATGACTGAACGAGATTAGATGAATAACTACAGAAATTTATGGGAAAATAAACTATAATCAGTGAACAGTGGCACATTATAGTATTGCAGTAGTCAGTAATGCTAGTATAATTCCCCAGCATTAGAGCAGGGGGATGCTAGCTAACCATCACAGACACTAGGTTTCTGTTCACTGCTTTTGTGCATCTTTACTCGTCTCTGGATTCCCATGGTCCAAATTTGCATGGTCCGGTTCCCCAGACCGTGTCCTACGTTTTGGATGTGTGGCCTGCCATTTAGGCTTCATCCATCACGTTTCTTTACTGCCAGCCGGCCTTTCTTCTGCTATTACTCATTAATCCTATCCACTGACCACTGCGGGGCCAATAATATCTGTCATCAGACGGGACACCTCCTTTTTGCAGGATGCACCCATTCTCTGTGCACATCCTTACATTTCCCGATCTCCTACTCCAGGGCTCAGCGTCACAGGACTGACATGGTTACTCTGCTCACCACAGGACCATCTAGACACAGGCGGAGATACTCAAGCTACAGAGTTATGCCTCTCTGAAGCATTGCTTGTTTTATTTGCATTTTTATGTAGCTAGAAGATGCTTTTATCCAAAGCAATGTACAACTGAGAAATCAGGGTCTGTAACAGGGGTGAAGGGTCTTACTTAGGGGGCTGCTGACCCTGGGATCTGGCTGATGATGAAGTGAAAATTAAACTAACTCTCCGCTTTCAGTTTCAGGCGTTCATCAAAAATATAGAAGGGAATACATTTAAAGATCTTTTGAATATTTTAAGAGGGTGCATTGTGCATATGGGAAGTCAGTTGAATAAAAAGAAAAACTACATTTTGCACTGAATTATGCAAATGGGTAGGCTAGAAAAGACACACCAATTCAGCCCAGACTCACACCTTGTTTACACAGCCAGCAGTCACCCCTGTGACACACTACTACTCATTAACACCCAATGTCATTTGTTTTGATCCATTGTAAACACTAATCACAGTAAATCATAGTAAGTATACTTGTGATCACATGAACTCATTTAACTTTTCACTGTATTGGCATCAATTTGTATATAATAAGACAGATTCTAAATCAGTTTGCAAATGCAAGGTAACAATATGCAGTAATGGGTGGGACATGATTGCATCTTACTCCCGGGGGGTGGGGTGGCCCTGTTTCGGTCTCACTAGTGCTATAGTCCTTCCATCATTGTCCTTAGCAATTATTTTCTGTCAGCCATCAATTTCGTCTCTAAAACACATCCAAAAAGTACAAAGGTCGTCAAAAAAGCACTTTAAAATTACCTTTATTATCTGCAGTGATGAAATGCTCAAGCAGCTAAAATTTGTAAAACAGAGAGATATCAGATATGGCAATAGCCAATTTATGTATCAGTTTTTGAGTCCTTGTCTCCTGCAGTGATGACACAAAAAGCAGAGACATGTTAGCCTCGACAATCAGGGCCAGGACACACAGTCTAACATGCCCGTTTGATTAAAGCGTGGATTTGTTCACTTTCCACGCCATTCGTTTAGCACTATTAACAGGATGGTGATCACTTCATTATGTTTAACCACCTGGTTTCATTTCAAACGTGATTGGTCAATCAGCGAGTATATTTGATGAACTCTCCAGCTGCACATGCTCTGAATTTTAATGTGCCTGAAACTCCACCAGCTGGGGAAAATTATTACAGGTGCACTGCTTAGCTGACATCCCCATCAAAAACTGCCATGAGATCATTCACCATGCCTTTTTCTATGAGTTCAGGTGATTTACTTTGCCTGGCATCTCACGCTGCCTGCTCTGGCATTCATTCGGGAACAGAAGTGTTAGCTGTGATCGGTCGGCATACTGCAGCCTTCCTCGAGTGTGAAGCGGAAAGCTCTTCCCTGTGACCCAGAGTATTCCATCCTCCCGGAGGCTGCACTCTGGATAGCCTCACCATGGTTATCAGTGGGCCTCTCTCAGGGGGTGCAGGCAGGAAGAGGCCTAGTCACCCTGCAAAGAGGGGGGCGGTGATGCTCTGTCACACGGTAACATGCGACTGATCCGCCGCACTCCCCCTGAAAACTTTGTCATGGAGGACCCACCCCTCACCCAGAAAATTTTATCTAGGACAGTGGACCTATCAAGGGAATAATATCATCCAAGACCAGGAAATATGTATGTGTGGGTCATGTATATATTACATTGTGGGAACCACCATTTCGGTCCCCACAAGGGGAAACTTAATTTTATAAAAATCTGTGACTGCAATCAAAAACCTAAAAATGCCAAAAGTCTTGTGTTTTGTTTGCTTACTTTTGGTTAAGGTTAGGGCTGAGTAGGGGTTAAGGTTGTCATTGTTGGGATTAGGGTTTTTCCCACAGAAATTAATTACACAAAGATAGGAATACAAACGTATATGCATGTGTGTGTGTGTGTGTGTGTGTGTGTATGTATGTATTGCATGATTACTGACTTTTTAAAAAATATTTTTTAATTATTGAAACAAACTAAAGAAGAATTATGATTTGTGACTGAGTGGAAAACATATAATTTTTCACTGAAACTAGGAGGACAGAGTTTGAGAATGATTTTCTGCTTTTTCTGTATATTCTTTCAAAATGGATAGGCACTCTGCTTTGACTGAAAGCAGTTAATTTTACGGCTGTGTTAATAATTCAATATAATAAAATCAAAGCAGCAGCTATCAGGATATCAGATTTTAATATTCGGCATAGACGTTATCATGCTGTTGGTTTATGATGTGCTTTATGCCATGTTGTGAAGGTAGGGGCTGCTTGTGCGAGCTGTAAGTGAATTATGGTGTTCAAAGGAGACGAGTCATTACACAGGAAGAAGGGGGAAGATCGAAAAGCTGCTCTAATGCTTTCTTAGCATTATCAAAGGCCAAAGCAACAACAGTGTGGGGCAGCAGCTATTACCAGTGCCAGTTATCAATGGAATAATTACAGCAAATGCAGTTCTTTAAATGCCATATTCATGAGGAACGTCTTTTGTGTCCTGAGTCATTACAGTGAACACGGCGGCATGTCTGATGCCTGTCTGTAAGTCGTGGAAGGGCTTTTATGAAAATAACACTGTAATTACAATATGAACTTTTACATTTCTGCCTCTGTGTAACTAATCCACTAAACGGCTGCACTGTTATAATATAAGCGCATGTTGCTTTTTGTTTGGCCTTATCTGTCCTGATGGTAACTATGGTAGCTAACCCTAGCCCCAACCTGATCCCCAGGTTCTTTTCCTGACTGGCTAATGTGGGTTATTACGCTTCTGACAGGTGACCTGTCTCCTGTGCATTGCCGGGTTGGCAGATTACCGCCTCTATGTAAGGCTTACTAGCAAACGCACAAGCACTCAGTGTCAGATTATGTCCTTGTAGTGCATTCCTGTCTAGTGATATATATGCATACATTTCATATGACATGTATTTTTCTCCTTATGGTGCAAGTCACTGTGTGGGAAACCCTGTGTGCCTTGGGGACAGGGCAATTTGATGGGGGGGCAGGGAAAATAGGATCTGGGAAAGGCAGCAGACAGAATGCTTTTCTGCTGAAGCAGAACTGGTGGGGGGGGGGGGGGGACAAGGCAGGACACACACCCATTTAATAAGGAAGAGGTGAGATAAATAAGGAAGAGCTGGGATGGTCACCTGACTTACCCTTACCCAATAAGGATGGCACCCGCACTCATCAGAGACATGCATGGGAAAAAGTATTTAAAACCTAAACCAGTGTCTTTCAAACCAGTCCTCGGGGACCCCTAGACGGTCCAGGTTTTTGCTCTCTCCCAACTCCCAGGGAATTTGGGTGAGAGGAAAAACGTGAACAGTCTGGGGGTCCCCAAGGACTGGTGTAAGTAACACTGGTATAAACGAGAGCAGAGAATGATGTAATGGGCACAAACAGCCAAATATGGTTAAATGTTTCAGCCCGTTTTGCCCTGTACATCATTTAGCTCATTGGTTCATTTCATTTTTTCGTGTTGGGGCTGCCTTTGGGTCACTGAGCACCTGTTTCACTTTTAATAGCAGGAGAAGTAGAATGACCTGGAGAAGGAAACTCCATTATTTTCTATTCTATAAACATAGACAGAAATTGGGTGGTTAACTTCACAGCCTGACCGTGTGAATGCAGCCGTGTGGTCAGCAGGGTAATCAGCTTTCCAATACAATAGCTTGATGTTTGGCTGTGTTTTTCTGGCATTTAGGACAGACAGAAGATACAAGACGAATAATTAAAAGTGTTATTTTTGAATGCTAATAGCTGTTAGTACTATTGACAGTTTCATTAAGGCATTTGTGCTTTATTCTCCTCTGACATCAAACCAGGATTTTAGATATTTTTACATGTTGTTTCTATTCTGTTCGGTTGGATTCAAAAATATTTTCTCTCTTTCGTCTCCTGTGGCATTTTTCAAATCACAAACTGTTGATTTCCCAATAAGTCATTTTTCTTATGCCTTCTCTTCAGTGGGACGCCATTACGGAGATGGACGAGCACAACCGGCCCATCCACACATTCCAGGTGTGCCATGTGATGGAGCCCAACCAGAACAACTGGCTGCGCTCCAACTGGATCTCCCGCGAGGCCGCACAGAAGATCTACGTGGAGCTGCGCTTTACACTGCGCGACTGCAACAGCATCCCCTGGGTGTCGGGCACCTGCAAAGAGACCTTCAACCTCTTCTACATGGAAGCCGACGAGCCCCACGGCATCAAGTTCCGGTCGGTCCAGTACACCAAGATCGACACCATCGCTGCCGACGAGAGCTTTACGCAGATGGACCTGGGCGACCGGATCCTCAAGCTCAACACGGAGGTGCGGGAGGTGGGACCCATCAGCAGGAAGGGCTTCTACCTGGCCTTCCAAGACATCGGGGCATGCATTGCGCTGGTGTCCGTGCGTGTTTATTACAAGAAGTGCCCGTTCACCTTCCGGAACCTGGCCACGTTCCCAGACACCATCCCACGCGTGGACTCCTCCTCGCTGGTGGAAGTGCGGGGGGCCTGTGTACGTAACGCGGAGGAGAGGGACACGCCCAAGCTGTACTGCGGAGCGGATGGCGATTGGCTGGTGCCCCTGGGGAGGTGTGTGTGCAGCACGGGCCACGAGGAGCTGGACGGCACCTGTCTCCGTGAGTGTCCCCTTTCTCGTCATTCTGTCCCCAATCAAGTCTGGATGACGAGACGCCTCAGATCATATCGGGTGAATCTCGAAAGAAACAATATATGAACCTGATAGTGTGAGTAGTGCGCTGGGACTGAACAATAATACAGGCTTGCTGATATAGGTCTGTGCCTCTGCAGACACTGGTGTCCTCACCTGCACTGCGTCTGACCTCCGTCCTCTCCCTAGAGGGCGCTGGCAGGAAGTGTCATAACAAGAGAGGTAGCTGAGGTTTTCTGCGGGGACTGGTGCTCACCGCAAACATCAGATTACCAGGAGTCACATTGGTCGCCTGCAGGCCCCAGAGTGCGCTCATCGTGCCCTGATGTCATCTCCCCAAAATGTGGGACAGTCGCTCCAGCACCTTTGTAAGGGACATCAGCAATAAATCTGCGCCCTGCTCTTGGTTAGTTAAATAGCAGTTATTCAACACCGGTAAATAGCATTACCACAAATCAATAATTACTTTACCAGTCAGTTGCTAAGCAATTGTAATTGCTTTCCCGATGTTATAAAATATTTAAATGGCAAACTAACTATGCATAATGACAGAGAGGATGATAATTTAATAAATACGAGGCCCTTTGCCGGCCTAGCGACTTTAAGATGTAGCCGTGACGTCACGATGTGACGTTTTGCAGTCATAAATAAGGAAGATAATATGTACTGTAGCTGGCTGAGTGGTGAGAGGAAAGCAGCTTCGGCATGGCAGGGATGTGACAGCTGGCTGAGCGTCCTGCAGTTTGTTTGATGCACAGTAAGGATCTAAATGACTAAATAAATATTAATCATATTGTCAAGCAGATTTTTATTATAGCGTAGTATTCAAGGAATGTACATTTGACTGTGTATCTTGCCAAAGTACATGGTGTTGTTTTTCTTTTTTAAAGAAAAACATTGCAGTTGCTTTTATCTAAAGCAGCATATCTTTATGAGAGAGCAGGCTCAGAGTAAGGGGCTGAGGGCACTGGCTCAACAGTGAAATCATCCTGCCAACCCTGGGATTTGAACCAGCGACTTTCCGATCGCAAGCACAGTGCCACTGACCCCCATTAAATATAATACAAAATGCAGTGGTGCTTCTGCCTTGGGAACTGAAGGGAGCAGCCCTGTGGCCAGACTGGAGGCTCTTACCCTGGCACCGCAGGCAACAAAGCCAGCTGCCCTCACTGGGTAGCCAGCGAGGTACCTCTGAGTGGCACAGATTTTCAAGCTGACTTGTTTACCATGACGGTATAGGTTTTTTGATGTATATTCCAGGAAAGCAGAGATAATCATAACCTTACGAGGGCCACCACACACACAAGACGATACGAATGTGAAAGTGCAGCTCAGCAGGCGATTGGATAAACCTTCCAGGTGGCCTTACCCAGGCGCAGCAGGCAGCTGAGCTGGCGGCTTGGCGCCGCAGGAACGGCCCGAGAATCTCGCCCCGGCCAGTGAACAGCCTGGCCTTAACTTGGCTTCATTATCTTCACATCGCCAGCTCAGCCCAATCCCACCTGATCTTCTGTTGACGCGCTTGCTCAGTATAAACGTGCTCAGCTGTGATCTAATAAGCGAAGGTCTTGCTGTTTGAAATAGCTGTTTTCCTCTTTTTATGGATGAAGGAGCAGTCCTTTTTAACAGGCAAGGGCTGCGTCAGGGAGATCTCGCCGCAGATCAGCCTCAGCGTTCTCCCAAGCAAGGCCCTCCCTGCGGCATTATCAGCTGAATCCATCGCTTGATAGATTAAGCCTGCTGTCCTGGGTTGCTGTCAGCTGTCAGGCCGTGCGTTTGTAATGGGACTACAGAGTGAATTTGTAAGTGGCGCCCTCACCTTCCTAAGACATTTTAAAGCCTGGTTACAAATAGGCTGCTTTTTGCGGCGCAGTATTCATCAGTGTCACGGCGCCTCGGCGTTCCTCTTGGCTGTGTGGCCTTACTGCCATTTGCCGCTGTTGGGCGCCTCTCTGCTGAAGGATCCGCTCTGAATCTTAAGTGCCTGTGTAGAGGCACAGTGGCCATTCCCTCACTTAGAATGCTAAGTATCCTAAGGTGTAGGTGGGCATATACATGACCGTCTGGCCCGTAGCTTGGATGCCCTTTAGATGTCATAATATCCTAATGCAGTGCTTCTCATCCCAGTCTTTTGGGATCCTCAAACAGCTCCCAGTACACCTGTACCAGATATTCAGTGTTCTTGTTTGCCTGATTGTTTGCTTTAGGTGCGCTGGGAGCTGGGAGGGAGCAAAAATGTTGACTGTCTTGGGAGCCTCGAGGACTGGGTTGGAAAACACTGTGCTAATGTATGGAGGGTTGGCAACAGTTTAATCGTTCGTTTTGTTATTGCAGGAAAAATACTGTAGATCTGCCCCCCCCCCCCCCCCGCTTTGTGGAGAGGTCAGACAAATATGTGCTCTGCTTAATTACAGAAGAAGTAGTGAAGAACAAAGGCTGTCACCACTGGTCGGGATGCGATAAGATGGTCATAGTCACCTTCCTGGTTGGCAGAACATTCCAGTCAAGGAATAATGAAATCTCAAAAACAAGCTTTAATCTGTTGTGTCAACAGAGTTCCATTATGTCCATCAGATACTAAAACCTGAAAGTTACCACTGATCAGACACAAGCCTCTCTTGTTATTTACTGTGGGGAATATTGTAATTGTAATGTCCGATTTGCTAAAAACTGGTGTTTCCTAGGCATGGTTCAAAAAGCTTTTTAAAAATTTGAATGGTTCTTAATTATTTATGGTTCTTGTTTAAATATTGTAATCTTTCCCAACATAACATTGTTTTTGAAGTAAATCAGAGGCAATAAGCTTTATTTCAAGGTGTGAAGTGTCATGCACTGTATGTGACATACCAGATGGATAGTCAGAAAAGATTTACGTTTCTTCAGACAGAGAATATAGGACCATAGCAACAACGACCATTTATCATTAAAGCACTTTTTTGAATTGAAAAAGAAATGAAAAAGGTATGTTCTTCATATGCACTTATTATTCAAACAGGAGCATTTAAAAAAAAAAAAAACTTTTTAAAATTATTTAACATTGCTTGTTCTAAAGATCACTTTATAATCATGTAAGGTAGTGCTACAGGAAATTAAATCTGGGTGGCAGTTTTTGGGTTTTGAAGTGCAGTAATATGTGTCCTGCATGTCTTCGTAGACCTGCATAGGTATGTGTGCATAGAAGTGTGTATGGGATAAATGAGGCATTGAAACATGGGGGGTGGGCTTTAAACAGGGCTGTCAGTCACTAACCGGTTCACCCAGCTGTCATTGGGCTCCTACTGGGTTAAATATGCCATTGATTGACAAATGATAATCTCATCCACTGTGAAAGTATGATGAAAGGTTGCTCGATAGCACTGTTTACTACCTCACCAGAGGTGTTTACTCTGCACTTAAACTGAATTAAACTACAGATTTATTCTGAGGCTAATGCAGCCCACTTGCATGTTTTGAGGTTATACAGTATAGTATTAAAAGCACTACATCCCATATCATGGCCATATGTGCTGTGATGTGTTAATGATCTAAAGAATTTATATCTCAACTATGTATTTAAGTAAAGTTTATACCTGGAGTCGGGTTGGTATTCTAAGGCTGGATGCGTGTGTGTATTCTGGAGGCATGGATTGCTTCCTCTGTGAGGAAGGCTTCACACCTGAGTTAAGTTGAGCCCTGAGGGCATTTGGGGAGCCGTGTTTTATGCAGAGTCAGCTAAGGACTCCCATTCTCAGCATTGTTCTGCAGCTCAAACTGCCAGAGTTATTATACTCCTGAAACTTACAGCAAAACAGTCGCCTTTGGGGAGGATAAGGGCCTTAATGCATCAATTCCATCCCTGAAATGGTATTGGACTGGCATAGAAGCAGTGGGATGCTGCAGGACCCTTCAAGGAAAGAAAAATGCCCTTCATATCAGAGTGCAAACTCCCTGTCATGGTTTTAGGGGCTGCCATGGAGGTCTACAGAAAAAAGTCAGTAGTTCTTCTGCTCTGCATAAATCGTTAAGGAAGGGTCAAGTACCTCAGTCAAGCACCCATATTATTTAAGATGCCTGACCTGCTTGAATAGCACGTAAAAACACAGAAGATTTAATGCCTTAATGCATAACTATATGGGCAAGACTGTTACGTTCTGTCACAGTAGCAGGAAGTTCCAGGTTCTTTGTTTGGAATAGCTAAGTTGGTGCCAGCAAGTGAATAACATCTGCAGCTGCCCTACACACAGGAAAGTGTTTGGGCCCAATCCAAACCATGGGCTCTTATCTGCATTTAATAATAATAATACTTTTATTTTATCTAGCGCTTTTCTAGGTACTCAAAGTCACTTTACAAAGGCAAATAAGAGAAATAAAAACACATATAAACATTAAGCAAACAAACAGGGCAAAGTTCTGTCAACAATTATAGGCTATTTGAAAAGATGGGTCTTAAGAGAGTTTTTAAGTGAAGATAGAGATGAGGAGTTCCTAATGTCACTAGGAAGGGAGTTCCATAGAGATGGGGCAGTAACAGGAAAGACCCTGTCACCCAATAGTGGTAATTAGTGATTTTAGGAAGAGAAAAGAGATTAGAGTCAGCAGAACGAAGGCAATGTTTGGGGGAGTGTCTATGTAGTAGATCAGCTAGATATGATGGGGCCAGATTATGAAGAGATTTGTAGATAAAGAGCAAAACCTTAAATGAAATACGCTGCCGGATAGGAAACCAGTGAAGATCTTTGAGAATGGGAGTGATGTGGTCAAAGGACTGAGACTGTGTGAGGAGGCAAGCAGCTGAGTTTTGAACATACTGAAGTTTCTTTATACAGTAGTTTTGTCAGGGAGGCCATATATAATGCTATTGCAGTAATCTAATCTAGATGTCATGAAAGCATGAATAAGAGTTTCAGCAGATGAAAATGACAGAAATGGACGAAGGCAGCTAATGTTTTTGAGGTGGAAAAAAGCTATCTGTACTGTGTGGTTTACATG